CCTGGAAGAGATGAAACATAAAGCAACGCGGTGAGAGTCAGTGATGGACATGAGAGAGTCTGGTTCTGAAACAAGCTGCATTTACATGTGAAATCAGGAACTTTGGCCCAAAACCATCTTGCTTTTTTACTGTATATTAAACACTGAGACTGAGTCAGTCCGATCCAGCAGGCCTGCAGTAAATCCTCCTCCATCAAGGTGATGATGTTCGGACTGTTTCACTGAGGTGTTGCGTTGCCTGTGTGGTCACTGTGGAGGCTTCACTGCACTGTGTTAGACAGAGAGGTCTGCCCTTATCGTTATAAATGGAATGGACAAAATATTAGAAACACTTCTCAGTAAAACAGCATTAACCGTTGCAGCCAAACTGACCATAAAACAGAATCAAATCAAATGTTGTAAATGTAACTGTAAATGTTGAGCAACTACAACATTTAACCTACATGTTCTTCACCACTGTGACTTCAATCACAGGGTTTTACCACTCAGGTTTACTAGGAAGTAAAGCTGTTTAGGAAATGCTTAAAACTTTAAGGCACTTTAAGCTCGTACTCCTTCTCAGAGTCATATTTCAGTTTGGCTCACAAGCGGGCAGGACATCTCCTGACCAGCAGGGGGAAACCCTGATTCCACATCCTCCTGTCCAGTGTGACAGATTGGGTTGTAATCGAGGCCTGAATTACTCCTAAACAGAGTGATTTTTCAAAGCAGTGTTGGCTTTTTCTGAATAAACCTTCTCACTGGTGCAAAAGGAGCCGTTTGCTGGCGACTCTGAGCACAACAGAGCCACCTGACAGAGCAGAAATTCACCTCAATGGCTTCAAAAAGCTGCTTTATGTGTGTCCGGCCTGCACCCGAGGGAGGAGAGAGGAGAAAGGCCTTAAAGAAAAAGTCTGTTAAGTGCAACTTTGAGCTGTACCTCAGAGTTTCCCAGCAACATGAGAGTTTTGTTGAACTTTCTGAATCTGTCTTTTTCATTCAGAGCTATTTCATCGTCTTTTTCTTGAAGCAAAGTTTGGTTTTATGAGGTGAATACCAACAGGTTCCTGGTGGTGTCCGTAACCCCCTGAACGTCACCTCCAACCACACACACACACACACACACACGTTTCTCCCAACAGCATTATTTGCAGAAGTATTTGCATGTGTTGTTTTTTCACTGTTATCTGTTTCTCTGCCTCTGACCTTGAATCTTAAACCTCACAGCCCCCCCATTCTCCCCTCCTAAGAAAAAAGAAAAAGACAAGACAAAAGCATGAATGCATAATTAATATAGTGAAGCTGCATTTTTAATTGTTGCTGGGCTTCAAAGTTGCCCGGCGGCATTGTCTCTCGGTTCGGGCCGGCTGCTTCCGATGGCAGAGCCTCATTCAGGGCTTTTAGGGCCGAGCGGCCCGGCGGCATTGTCTCTCGGTTCGGGCCGGCTGCTTCCGATGGCAGAGCCTCATTCAGGTCTTTTAGGGCCGAGCGCTGCAGTAGCTCCGGCAGACAACGGCTCTAAGCTCGCCTCTTTTCTCAGGGTGTCTGTGCGCACAATGGACTTCCTTAGCCTGCACACAAAGGAGGCTCGCGCATGAAAAAACACCCAGATTCAATGGCATTCCTCCCCACAATGCACTCTGAGAATCTGTGCTTCTCCCTCGCTCTCTTTTCTCTGTCAGCACTGGGTGATGCATCAGGAAGATGTGAGGATGAGGAAATGATAAGCTTCAAAATGAGGCTAAAAAAATCTGAATGGAGGTGATTGAGATGAAATAAAACTGAGTCTGCAGCCACATCAGCAGCTCTGTGAGGCTGAACTGGGATAGAAATGTTTATTAGCCTCAAATATATTACAACTCATCCTGAGGGAACATGATTGAACCAAATTTCACAGCAAACTATTCAATAGACATTTTCCTCAAAACCACAAACCTCATGGTTCGGCAGTGAGGTTTTAAGATGCTACATGTAAAATGCTGCTCAGACCCATGGCATCTTGATAGTCTGTGAACTTTCAGAAAGTTAACCCCTAACTAGTGGCCTTTCTGGGGGAGTAGAACTACACCCTAGGCCTGAATTTAGACCCTGGCTCTTTCGGTGGAAACACAGGAAGCAAGGAAGAGGTTCTTGTTCCGTGGGGAAAGTTCCTTTTGTGGAAATGACACTAAAGATACCAAAACAATAGGAAATTAGTAGTTTTATAGGCACTAATTATGTTTGTGGCTTTCAGAAATGTCACCAAAAATTAGTAACTGATGTTTCATTTTATTATCTTTACTTTACTATTATCTTGGCAGGCAGCTAATCACCAAGAAGCTGCTGGGAATCATGACGGAGGGAGAGTCGAGTCGGGTGAACACCACCAACACCCGCAGCCTAATCCTCCTGCCTCGTACAGCTGCGCCAGCCCTGTTTCAAAAGCCAGACCTCCTTTTCTCCCTAACATCCCCCTCCTCCCCATTGTGCACCACCTCTTTTCTTTTCTCTGGGTTATTCTGCAGCAGGAGAAAGGACAGGATTTTGTAGTGGCCCATCGTGTCACACAGACACAAGACCTGAGGCGGCCAGTCGTCAAATGGGAGCTCTCTCACAGTGCTCACTTTGGTCATGTCGACTCGGGGAAAGAGGGGAAACTCTTATTTCATCACCTGAAAAGGCTCCAAACAGGACATGAAGGCCGGCTCTTCACATCGGACACAACTGAGTTTGAAAGCTGGCGTTCCTCTGAGAGTAGCAGGGAGTGTTTGCCCGGATGTTGGCATCATGTTTTAATTGAATTTGGCTGTCAGCAGGTCTCAAAGGGGCCAAACGACCTGTTTCACAAGATAAACTTATTATGGAAAAGCCCTTCTGGGATCCCACTGAAGTAAACCAGGGCAAACATGATGAAAGGTCAAATGGCTTTTACACACTGCTGCAGTCAATCTGATTATTTCAAACTTTTAACTATTAAATGCAGTAAATTATTTTAAAAACTGTAAGAGAAAGAAAATCAAAAGGATACAACTGGCAGCTTTCTAGATTTTTCTGGTCAATAAATCCAAAGAAAGCCAAAACAATTTTTTTTATAAACATATAGAAACAAAATAAGATATTTATTATGATCCGAGACTATTGTGTCTTGGGTCAGAGCGCTGCTGCATTTAGTAGCACAAGGAAGGCAATGCTAATGTTTAAATGACATAAAATAAATGAAAAAGAGAAAGCTGAATGGCATTGCTATGAGTCACTCTGTATAAGCCCATATGGTTTAATATGATTAAGGGATTATCAAACTGATGACAGTTCATCATGAGGGAATTACTGTCAGAACCACACTTCAGTCCATCCAATAGAGTTTTTTCTCAAAACTACAAACCTGTATGACAATAGTTAAACAGCTGTTAGGATGTTTGAAACTAAATCTTAAAGGTGCAAGAGAAAAGTAAGATTATAGTTTAATAGGTGTCAGTTACTGTTTGTCAAAAAATAAGTAGTGGATCAGGTCAAGTGTTTTTTTTCTTCTGCCAGTATTTGTGGATGAAATGGCAGCTGAGGCTGCCCCCTGCTGGAGCTCATCACAAAGCACAGCCTGAGGAGCTCACCAAAGGAGCCAGAATGGTGGCCACGTGCTTGGCTATGTTGTGTTAGATTGTACCCAATGCTTTTGTTGGAAGCGCGAGAAGTGAAGACAAGAGAGGACGTTTTAAAATCAACAGGAAGTTTACTCAAAGTCTGGGCACAGGTGAATCGGTTCTGCCCGACTGGCATTGAGACGGAGATACACTATTTATCCCCATTGGTGGTGGCCAACAATGTCCCCTAACAACTGAGTCATTGTAGCCCAGTATGGGACCGACGCCTATTGTCCTGGTGGGCATGTTTGGTCAGAGATCTCAAAACAGAGTTGTAGATGGATGACAAGTTGTGTCTTAGTCCACCACCCCTATTTAGTGAGGGGTGTTCTATTTGGACAAAAAGGCCAAAATCAGGTGAAAATCTGGTGGTAAAATCAGGACCCAGGAGGTGGAGGTTTTCACCAAGCATATCAACTCTGTGAATATCAACATCAAGTTCACTCGTGAGGATGCCAGAGATGACTGTCTGGCCTTTTTGGATTGTGCAGTCCACATGGGAGAGGACAGAAACCTGAAGGTAG